TGTTTAAAATTACCTGTAAAACTTTTCTTCTAAACCTCAGTTGAGATATCAGTTATTTAAATATATTCATCACATTTAGCAGAATCCTATCATCTCTCCTCTTCCTATTTAATTAAGAATTACTTTTGCCTGCCACAGGAGAATCAGAAGAGCTTTCTTTTGAGTTATTCAGAGAGTGGTAAAATAACACATGCAGATGCAGCAGCTGACAACATAAGCAGGGTCAGTATTAGGACAAACTGGCCAAAAAGAGCAGCTTTTGGCATAATTTTAATCAGTCCTCGGGTACATGAAATGTCATGGAGTTTCATATGAAATGAAATTATCCCTTTCTCTTAGCTTATTTTTGTTCCAACTAATCCTCTAACTCTTTATTAAACATTATCTTTACCATCTGCTCTGGGTGAATGTTCAACACCTTGCAGAAGAACTCTGGGCTGATTGGTTTTTATGGGCAACATGATCTGAGTTTTATGCACATACTTAGGATTATGTCAAGGACAAAGAGGATGAATAATCCATTAACTATAATAAGCAGGAATCCATATCAGTGAAGCTCAAACATGTGTTATGTTTCAAAAGGAAAAGATGAATTAGAGATATGTGGATCATAAAATACACATACCCCAGGACCCTCTCTATACCAGAACAGAATTTCCATACATCCATACTCCACTAAACAGCATTCCTGAAAGTGATGCTTCATTCTTGATGAATCAGACTTTATAGTGCTGAAATGGAATTTCCCAGCCTACAACATGCAAATAAATAGCTCTGCTGAATTGGGCATTTCCTCTAAGGTGGAAAAGATGGTAGCAAAATATCTGCCCTGTGTATAGATCTTTCAACCAGATCTTCACTCTATTTTCATACTTTCAGTAAGCCTCTAAAATAAATAATCAAGGAAGTACCTACTGTTTAAAGTCACGATTTTAAAATTTACACTTCAAAAAGTAATTGTCAAAAGTTAATCAAATGTTGCTATCAATTAGATCCAGTTATTGCTTCCACTCTTTGATTACCACCAACACTAAAATAACATTACTACTATTAATTATGATATTTAGGGTAATGTGTATCAGCCCACCAAGACTGCATTTGCCACAAAACACATAATTGTAAGAGTTTGGTTCCTTGCTTGTAATAGTTTGTGTAATCACTCACCTTTTTCACCTTTCCACATCTTCTGCAATAATTTCTCTTCCTCTGGCTAACCTTTCAGACCAAAATATTTACCTTTTCTTCCATTATAAAGGTTTATAATCCAAAAATAAACAACAGTTATGATGGTATTTGATAACACTATAATATCAGAAGAAAATATCTGGACAATAAGTCTTTGCTCCTCTCCATTCATGCAGAAGGTTTGCTCCGTGTATCCTTGCAATATGCTCTAAGGCCTAATGACTGATTATCTTCTAAACAATTTCAGCAACTTGTTGAGGACTACTCGACTCACAGTGAGAAGTATTCTTTACTGCTGTATCATTCCATACACAAAGGGAAGGATCAAGGTTCTCCACTGGTATAAGTTGTATGAATTCTGTTGATTTCAATAGAACTGTGTTGATTGGAATCAATGGTGTGATCTATACACTTTTAGAATCTGTGAAACAGTAAGGACTCTGAGAGAGATAGTCATTACTAGCTACTGGATATGCTGCTAAAGACTATGAGAATTGTCCAGCTGAGAGTTTTGACTGGTAACAGAAGGCTCTATTAAATCCCAGTATTCAACTCTCAGTACTACACGTGCTTTGGCTGACCAGGGACCTTGACTTCTTTACCTGTTCCTGTAGTACACACTAGGGGCAAAACAAGCTTAGAAGCAAATCACAGAAACCATGCTCCATGAACCATGCTCCAGACCACTGCCCTCATAGCTCACTGGATTAAAGGGAGATCAGATTAGACCCAAGATCATTTACTCTATGGGGACCTGCTCAAGTTGCTTACCCTAATCTAAATCTCAAGTGTGCTAAGCAACAGATGAAAAGCTACACGATAATTGCATAGCTCAGGTTCTTGGTAAACTTACTTTCCTATACTTCCAGACTGGTGACCAGCTTAGAAACAAAACCTAGTAATAAATAAAAAGTAATACAGCTGAAAGAGCCCAAAATAGCATTACTCTAAGCTACAAACAGTGACCTAGTATCTTCCTCTCCAATTCCTCCATGGGCAGCATTCAGTGATAGTCATAGGTGGGCGAGGAAGGATCCAGTATGTTTATGTCACAGAATTTCCCGTGTAAATAATTAGCTGCTTAATACACATGCATGTGTTCTTCCTAGACTAACAAGTCTTTGTGAACCTCCCAGTTCAGAATACAAGCTTCATTACTAAATGAAAGAATAAGCATATATAATATTCAGAGTAAATCTCATCTAAGATAGGATATGACTATTCTTAAATAGATGGAAAAATGGGTTCCAAACACCCAAGTGTAATCAGGGGTCTGGGCCACTCAGCAGAAGACTTCTCTATCAGCTCCCATCCTAAACACTGAATTTCAGAGACTCTTCAAAAATACAGAAGGGAGTTACTTTTTTATTGTTAATGCTTTCCTTAAACCTCTTTTTATGAAAGTAAATTAAAGTTACTTTCCAGTGAAAATTTTGAGCCCGATGGGAATTTTAAGACAAAAGATAAATGTTGTGTTCATTCTTATATGGAAAGTGTCTCTCCCCTCCCTAAACATTACTACATACATACATTCATGATTTAGATGAGGGAGAAGGACAGTGAGAGATGAAGAAAAATCTTGTCTAAAATAACACCTTTGAAATTATAAAAAGAGGAAAGCAAAAGAGTTATGTCAAGTGTTAAAGGGTAATTTTATATATACCTTAACTGTTAGCATGAGTAATACACAAAATGGATTTGTTTTAGGTTACCAGCTTTTATCCAGATTATCCAGACTATCAGCATCTGGTTTAAGTCCCCAGTGTAACCATCTGTAGTAATGTCACATGAAGGATTAGCCTTATCTGACATTTGTAATGAATATATGGATGGAAGAAGAGGAAGGAGTGTGACATAGAGTACAATTGTTAAACCTTAAAATGAGGTGAATCCACATCTTTATTTGCTGATTCTAACCATGGGCTTTTTTACTTTTCAAATGTTAGCATATGTATTGAAAAACAATACATCCTCATTGATTTTTTAAAGAAAAACAGGCAAACTGAGAAAAATATTTCTATATTTGACCTTTTAAACATAATTAGAACATTAAATAAAAATAAAGCCGACTTCACCATGTTCAGTTATGACAGATGGGTATGATCAAAAAACATCAAAGGTAGGCTTATCCTAATCCTGTAAAGTGGTAAGTGCCTCCTGAAAGGTCCTGAGTGCCTTCTAATCCTACTGAGGATAGGCTGCAAGTGCATCAAGAGGTAATGGGAGCAAGTAACAGAGGAAATAGTGAGCTTTCCTGGCCACATGAGGAACAGTCTGTATTAAAAAGATCTGATGCTTTAGGAAATAACATGATTTACCTAAACACAGAAGTCTGGAAGTGGGAAGATGTGTTTATTCTGCGTTCTCTGTAAGTTAGTCCCATATCATGCAGCCCTAATTCAGAAAACCTGGCTTCTCTTCCAGGCTTTGTTGTTTGCATAAAATTGCACAGTGTCCCAGGTTAATGTATTTACCCCTTAGCATCAGTGTCTTCTTTCCACAAATGGTGAAACTGAAGTTACCTCTTCACATGAAGTTGTGCAAAATGGACAAGACATAAGAATCTATGACCATGATTAGTTTTAATGCATCAGAATGTATGATGAAAAAGCTGGGGTTTAAAGCAGAAAGAAAAACTCAAATCCTACAAAATGTTTTGATTTGGGAGTTTCTCCTTTGGGTGCAATCAAATATTTAGGATAGGAAAAAGGAGAATAAAGGATTCTATCAACTTAAGGCAGGTACCACTACCTTTGGAAGAACAGCTGAATTGGAATGACTGCTGATCAGGTCAAGTTCAACAAGAAGAGCCCTTTGATTCAAAAACGGCCACCTGAAGGGTCTCAGGGAAGATTGGGCTCTGTGTTTCGAGGCTAGGTGATATGAGAAAACAGTACTGCAGTGGAGTGTAGCAGCTAAAAAACAAGACAATGCCAACCACTCCTCCCCAGTTTAAAACAAGCTTGTTAAGTCACACTGCAAAAGTACCTTGTGCAAAGTCACAGATGATATCTGGTGCAGCCTGAGAACTAAGTCTCAGTCAGTTTTATCTCATCACAGGGAAACTCTAGAATGTTCCCACTGGTCATGCAAGACATGGATATCTTATTTCCTTTGGTGAAACAGACACAATTAATAGCTGATATTAAAAGAAGGCTTCTTCATATGTGTATTATTAGATGTCACATGTCCATGAAGCTCGAGCTTGGAGTTTTTTTTCAAGTATCCAGATACCAGGTTACCAGGCAGAGTGTCACTAATGCCTACATTTTATAAATTTGCATGAGACATTTTTATAGCACATGCTGCATTGGCACCATTGCCCAATACTGCATGCAATTACTTTGTTGTTGCTGTTGTTGCTGAGGGCCAAGCTCTAACAAATTAAATTTAGAGAAGGGAAATAGGCTTATATGCAAATGGAATTAAATGCTGACACAAGGATAAAACAGCCTTGGATTTAGACAGGGCTCTCCCCCCGACTTTTTAACCAATCATTAGATTTAAATTGAACAGACAGATTCATCTTTGATTTAACTCCACTGTAATCAATGGAACTGCAGCAGGGATGAACACAAGCAATATGTTTTTGACAGGTTTAATGCAGTGGCTATCCAGAACGAAGTAGATGAAACAGATTTATTTTTTTTTTGCTTATAATTTATGAAATTATTTCACCATCCCCAAATCCCTACATCAAGGAAATTAGTTGGTGCATAAAAATGGATAAAGTAGGCAGTTGCATGCCAAATACCAACTGCTGACCACAGGCTCTGTACCCAAATACGCAAAGCCAAAATATTTATCTGACTTACCTGTGATCCAGAACAAGCTCCCTAATGGTGTCAGTGCAGCTGGATAATTGCACAGTTTCTCCTCAATGTCACTTGAGCTGCATAGAAAGAATGAAGTACATTTACTATCTATATAATATTAATATAATATATAAATAGTGTCTGAACTTAGAAAATTATGGTTTTTGGTGATCTATAGAAATCCTAGGAGGAATAATGACCGTTGATCTGATCATTGCATTATACAAAAAATGCATTTCAATAAACTTTTAGAACCCTTGGTTGCATTTTGTGCCTTTGTTACATGACTGCTCCTAGATATTGCTTCCTCCCTTCTCTGTCTCCACTGGCACATCTTGTGGGAAGAATAAATTGTTTATCAAAATACTTAATAAATTATTGTAGGATCAAAGGACTCTGACAACAGGCACTCTATAAGTAGCTAATGAGAACTAGGGTACCAATCTTATACCAATCTGACAGACCCTGATTTTTTGGGCCCTTTTTTTTCAGCATCAACTCCTTTTCATTCTTCTCTCCCTTCCTAGTTTTCCATTGCTTCTTTTCAGCTGACAGCTTATTGCTTATTCATTTATTGATAGTCTCATTTTTTGGCTATAAAGATTCTTTATTCAATGGTAAGTTCAGAGGTACAAGTTTGTTATTCCACACAGCCCTTCTCTGTAGTAAAGCCGCCAAATGATACAGAGAACTTCTGTATGGATGTGTAGCTTTACCCTTCTTGTGTCAGTTTCCACTCTTACATTGGTTTTTTCCCCACAAAAGGTTTACTTTCTTTTTCACTGTATATGCACGTGTAATGCTATTTTTGGTAACTGCTAATGGTTAACCAACTATACATGAACCATAACAGACTTCCTGCTGACACCTATGGCATGGTCACCATCAGCCAGAGTTTGCAGATAATCTTCTTGAAATATTAGAGTAGGACAGTGCTTTTTACTTGGAGGTCCACAATAGGTCACTAAGATAAGTGTATTGTCAAAAAGTAAGACCATGCATCAAATATTCATTAACTGCTGCAGTAGAGATATTCTCAGCTGGTGGAGTAGCCTTGGGAATAGAGGTACTCTAGGCACTCTAGGCAAAGACAGCAAAGCAGATCAATTTCAAAAAACAAAAATATTTCCAATACCAATTTATTGGTGTTATAACCACATTACTACCAATTTATTTCCAAAATACCAATTTCAAAGCAAACTCAATTCATACCAAACAGCCCTAGAGAAACATGTATTTCCTTTGTATATTTTGTCTCACCTACATAAAAACAAGAGGCAGGAATCTAACAAGGCCTAGCACTGAACTTATATTGAGGGGATTACCAATCTTTGTTTACATTTGTTCTGTAGCAAATCATTAGGGACATAGCAAAACACTGCTTATCAGTATTATTATACTAAATGGAAGTGCTTGAATCAGGTCTAAAGCACATACAAACTCCTCTTCCCTTCCTCAAATATATGTATTTCCTCCAAAAGCACAAAGCAGGTATTTGTTTCAGCCATTTTGCTCACTAGAGATTTTTGAAAGTATAATCAGAATTACTTTGGCAACATGTAATCCTGTGAAAATATGGAAAACAGAGAGAATTACAGTGGCATCATGTATTTTAATGCAAAACTAGTTTAAAAAAAGTTATGAAGATATAAGTCAATAAAAAGTCTGGAAAGCATCTGCTTTTATAATATACATCCATCTTTAAAGAGAAGGAAAAGATTCTACCGTTACAAGTATGTCACTGTATAACTTATAGGAAAATTAAGATTTTTCATTTCAGCTACTAATAGTTTCCAGAACATAAAGCATAAAAGTCTGAGTACTCCTTTTTTTCAAGCAGTAAAGGTCTCAAGTTTTTACCCCATTCATATTTATCACATTCCAATCATTTGTATTTCATTGATTTCAAAACACAGAAAATGGTCCATCAAAATAATGCTTTTTATAGATGTTATGAACGGTATTACAATTCTTCTACATTTTTCACCATGGAACCTACAGTAGTTTTCAAGTAATAAAACTTCATGCTTACTTTCTGGAGTTCTAATTCTAAACACTTCATTCTGTTCAGTTATCCGGTGATACCACACTCAACAGCATGCATTCTTCTTATGTGAAAAAAGCAGTTAGAGATGGTATCTGATATTTGCATGAATTCAGGAATCTAAGCTAAACTAAGATCTTGGATTCATTAAGAAGTCAAATTGGCATTCAACTGTCCCTTTAAATATTTCTAATATTAATAAGAAAGTTTTCAACTCAAACTTATAAGCACGATTTCTTTCCCTAGTCTTTCAACAGATGAAATTAAAAAAGCATCTTAAGGAAAGACACATGCATTAAATCCAGTATCTGGGAAAAAACTTGCTGGATTAATATCAGCCTCATAGAGTAACATTAAGTGCTTGCCTTCAAACTTCAAAGTCAGTGGTCCGTTAATTTTTAGCTCTTTCTTCTATTCCAGCTTCAGATTTCTTCTTTTTGCCTGCCAAAATACCTGAATTGATCTGTGGTTGTAATAATATGATTCTCCATGTGTTTCTTGTGTCTGCAAAGAATCAGTTTCAAAACCAGTTAGACAACTCAGACTGAAGGGAGGCTGTCCATAAAATCAGTTAATCAATTTATGAACATACTATAGGGTTTTATGCTGAAATAATAAAAGCAACTTATTTAGTACTCTTTAAAACGCTCTTGAGTCCTGCGGGTGCCGGGCTCTTTGCCCTGGAGCCCCCACTGGGCTGTGCGTGCACACCCTGTGACCGCCAGGGCGGCTGCGGCTGCCTCTGCCCGGCCCCGCCACGCCGGAGCCGCCGGCCACAGCTGCGGAACGGCCGGCTAAACTCGGCGGGGAAAGAGCCGGCTAAACCTCAGCTGGGGAAGAGCCGGCTAAACCTCAGCTGGGAAAGAGCCGGCTAAACCTCAGCTGGGGAAGAGCCGGCTAAACCTCAGCTGGGAAAGAGCCGGCTAAACCTCAGCTGGGGAAGAGCCGGCTAAACCTCAGCTGGGAAAGAGCCGGCTAAACCTCAGCTGGGGAAGAGCCGGCGAAACCTCGGCGGGGGAAGAGCCGGCTAAACCAGGCTGCCAACGGTGCACGGTTCTCACACGCACTTATAGGCATCTTCTGCTAGGAACACTCCCTCTACATTTTTCCCCAATGCTAGAAGTTTATGAGTCTTTTATCCAAACTAAATGACGTTCCTAAAGAAAGTTTTGTATTCCTTTGGGAAGAAAGTAGTAAAATGGAAAGTTGGATAAGAGTCTCTTATACAAAACAAAGCAAAATATTCAAACTGTGTAACCATCATAAATATCTAACATGGAATTAAAAAATGGGTTCATTTTGAGAAAATTCCCCATTCATTCCCCATTCCCCGCAACAGAGAATGAACAAATGCAAGTAAAAGGAATCAAACACAGAATCTAAGAGAACTTTCAGGGAAAAGCATTCTACCACCCCTAATACGATTGAATATCCATCTTGCAAATAAACAGTCCAAACAGTGACAGGAAAAATTAGTAACAATTTCAGATCATATTTAAATGAACCATTGCATGGCACTGAACTGTGAAAAAGAAGAATTTGGATTGTTCTTGCAGAGCTGTCTCTGACTTGTTATGAAATCTCATTTGCTAGCCAGTTTCCCTGAGTATCCTCCATTCCCTTTCTCAGCTCTGGTGATTTACAGAAGTTATGGACCAGTTCTCACAGGGGACACATCTATGCTAAAATCAGAAGATTGACAGAGGGGGGGTGAATGGAAACATTCCCAGACTAGCTTTACTCTCACTGGCCTGCTCAACAGACTTTAGTTGTCCCAATAAGTATCCATTACGTCTTTCAGATCTGCATCCTGTGCTGTAGTCCATGTTTCCAGTCAAAGTTCCTTGATAAAGTTTCTTTCAGCTATGCCCACCAGTCCTTCACTCAGTGTGCAATAGTGATTTTGAGTAGGTGACACCTGGATCTCAGTGGGCTCTCTTAAGCACTACTTTACAATACATAAAACTAGGTGCTGCTGAAATACAAGCAACCTTCTTGCATTGGTGATTTCTTGCTGGACTAGCCCTGCTTTTCACCCAGTTTACTTCTAAAAAGCATTTCCTGCAAGTCTGGGCAATTCATGCCCCCTCTGCCTGGAGCCTAGATCCCTGCAGTTGGTGCACTGAGCAGTCCCAGCCATGCAAGTCCCTGCACCAGGCCCTGCAGCCAGACACCCTGGAAATGCGCCAGGGAGAACATGCATCGCCTCCTCCTGCAAGCACTGCAACAGCCACTGCACGGGTGGTTGCTTAATGCCAACAGTATGAAGTGTATTTCCTGTGCTGAAGGAAATTGCATCTTTCAGGAATTGCATCAGGTTCTGGCAAAAAAATAAAACAGCTAGGGAGAACATATTTCAATATGAGTGAGCTAATTATAATTTTGGCTCCTAAAGCTTTTTAACAGCCAACATATAAAGTCCAACTGGCATGTCCTTCCGCCTGCCTGAAGGAAAAAATCCCAATTTATAGCATAATCAGAAATCCTGTTTCTATATTTTTGGGATTTTTTTTAAGTTACTGCCAATACATCAGCCTATGGAAAAGCCTCAGATTGCTTTCCAAGTGATGGAGTGCCAGGAAGAAAAACTTTCAATGTATACACATTTTACTGCCTTTACACTGGTTTAAAAAGCACACAAGATTGCCTGGCTGGAAGTAAGGGGAAAAGAAGTATCAGTTAAGTAAGGAATTTGTGAATCACCTAGCCCTGTGCAAGTAAGGGGCCATTATTAATTTTCAGATTGTCATAAAGCCATTGGTGAATTTGAGACAGTTCAAAACCTGTTACAACAGAAGGAAGAGGGGATTGGGCAATCTGCTGAAATGAAATCCAGCCCACAGAAACAAAATCTTGCAAGAACCCAGCACTGAAATATTCTGTGAGAATGAAAAATAGATGAGCAAGTGCACAGGTATAGTCTTTTAAAGACCAATGTTATTCAGTATGAAGGCAGAGGGTATTGCACAGCTCTGAACACAGGTTTGCTATACCAGGCTCTTACTTCTTTCAGTCAATTATACTCTGAAAACTTTGAA